ATATTATTTAATTATTATAAAATAAAAGTCTATAATTTAATTCATATAAAAACAATAATATTTTATATAATAATTAATCTTTAGAAAACAATACTTATAATACATAATCATAATATCAAAGCATAAATTCTTAAAAAAATAGCAAAGATTTTATTAAATAAACTAATAATCTTTTTGAAAATCCATAAAAAAACAATAATAATAATTTTTAAAAAATAAATAAAAAAACCTATATAAAAATAATGACTCTTAAATATAATAAAATAATAACAGTTTATTAGAAAATATTAATAATACTTCTATTTATAATTCTTAAATATAAAATAAATAAATAATTGATGATAATAATTCTTCAATAAATACCAATATAAACATATTTAATAATAATTTATAAGATAAACCAAATATTTTCTAAGATAAACTATAATAAATTAATACATTTTAATAATAAAATTACTAAAAAAGTAGTATTTCTTTAAATATTAGTCAAGATGAAATCTCATTTTTAAAAGAAGACTCTCTATAGGAAAATTTTCTTTAAATTTTAAATAATAATAATTCTTTTTGTGTATAAAATAATCACTCTCCTTTCAAAAATAATGATGTTTAAACATCTAGATTTAATAATTTAACCTAATTATTTTTAAAAAAAGATAAATTAATATAAACCGAATTCATAGACGAAGAACTTTTTCCACCTTTTGATAAACGAGTATGCTTAAGATGTCGCAAAAATGACCTAATAAGCCCTAATTTTTGTAAATACGAAAACATTTAAAGTCTAAATAATAGCTTTTAATGTAAAAGAAGTCATAAAGTATAAAAAAATCATGTTTTTGGGACATAAATAGGATGGAATACTAATTCTTTATGCTAAAGCTTTATTAAAAATTAAAAATTATATAATAATAATGGTTTTAGATTCTAAGATGCAAACATTAATACTATAATTTGTTTTAAAGATTTTAAAAAATAAGAAAATAAAAATATAAAAAAATATTGATAAAAAAAAAAAAATATATAAAAATACTATATATATAATTAATATTTTTATATATATTTATTACTAAAAATTTAAATTAGATTTAATCGAAATTTTTTTTTATGTTTTAAGAAAAAGATAAAAATAAAATATAAAATTACTATATATATTAAAATTTTTTATTTTAAGTTTTTTATTATTATATATAATTATTTTAAATTTTATTTCTTTATATTATATCTAAATTAAAAAAACTTACCAAAACAATTATTTCCTATTTATATATAAAATCAAGCTTTGTATCTTAAAAAAGAAGATACCATAACACTAACACTTCATTTAATAAATTTAAACCTCAATTAATAGAATTATCATAAAATTATTACTAGTTTTGGTTTAATATATTATTATTTTAATCCTTTTATTAAATTAATTTGAAGTTAGATATTTTACTTTTTTAAAATGCTTTATTTTTTTAATTTTTATATCTTATTTACAAAATTATAAAACCTTAAATGATAGAATAATATTTTATTTATAACAAAATAAATTAAAGTTATTAAATGGGTAATACTTTTTTTTAATAACATTAATTTTTATTTCATAAATTTTTAACCTTTCATTTTATAAATTATGTTACAATCATTTTTTCTATTTAAAATTTTATTTGAAATCTTTATTATTATTATTTAAGAAAATTTAAAGTATTTTTAGAAATTATTTTTTATTAAATTAAAACTTAATAATTATTAATTATTTAATATATATATATAAAAAATAGATATAAAATTATATCAATATCTTTTCTAAAAATAAAAACAGGAAAAAAATAATATAAATAAAAAAAAAAATAGATTATCAATATATCGTTTTAAAATAAAATAAAATAAAAAAAAATTAAGCAAATTATATATAAATTTTATGTTTTTGTCTTGTTTTTCATATATTCTTCTTTATTAGACAACTAAAAGAAATAAAAGGAGAAGAATAATAAGGTAAAATTTAAATAAAAAACTAATATAATTTATTTTCATTTATTACTTACCTAATTTAAATTAATTTTCTTAAAATTTATGTATTTTTTTAAGATAAATTAATATTTAAACCAAAATGTTATCGATTATAAATAAGTTTAACTTAATAAATCATTAAAAAAGATAAATATTTTATTTTAATTAATAAATAGTTTTTTAGATATAAAATTAATTAATAACAAAAAAATATTTTTTATAAAAAATAAAATTAAAATAAAAATAATAATAAAAAAAAAGATAAAAAATATGAATATTATTAATTGTATTTATTTAATATAAAAAAATATATATATATATTCATCTAAATATATAATTAAATAAACACTTAATTTAAAATAAAATTTTATTTATATAAATATATATATAAAAAAATAATAAAATAATAAAGTATAAATATGGGTATTAAATAAATATATATATATATAAAATACATATACATAAATATCTATTTTTAACTAATATATTTAAATAAATAAAGATAAAGATAAAATAATTCAAACAACAGTAGGAATTTCAGCAGGAGTCTTTACTACTTTGATATTAAATTACTTATTGAATAATAAATAAAAGAACCCTTTGTGTTAAGAAGAATGCCATGTGGTCAATTATAAATAATAATAAAATTTGAAATTAATGTCAGATGTTTAAAGATCTTAATATATAGTTGATTTAATAAAAAAAAATACTGAAAATTATAGAGGTTTTTTTTTTTAAAAAAAAATAAAAAATAAAAAAATATAACATAAATATAATTACTTTTTTATAAATAAAAAATATAGATTTTGGTAGATTAAAAATATAATAATAAGATGCTTAAAATCTTTAATTTTTAGAAGAAGTTAGATTTTTAGACAGCAAAATTTGTGAAATTGTAAAAGTTCCTCATTTAATACTTGATTTAGTAATATTTTTTTATATATAAATATGATAAATTATATTAATAACAAAAGGGTTTAGAATTGAATTAAGTAAAAGAAATATTAAGTGAACTATCTTAAAAATTGCCTTTTGAAACTTTTGTAAAAACAAACGAATTCATATTGTGTAAAAAACAAAAAAACAAAAAAAACAAAAATAGCTATTTTTTTTAAATAAAAAGCAAAAGCTGCATTTGGACCAGGAAGCTAATTAGAAACGGCAAAAAAATGGCTCCGTGGAGGCCCAAGATATTACAATTATTTCGAAGCTAAAAAAGTAAAGTTGCATAGTAACATGTGACGGTCTATGTCCTGGTTTAAATGTTGTTTTGA